ACTCGGCCCCACCACTCCTCTCAGCTCCGTCGCCGCCATGAGCCGCCGCCGCCGCCTGGAGATACAGGGCCGGAACTGCCTACGAGAGCCGCCGTCGCCGCCCGGAGAGCCCCAGAAGGCTAACGCATCAGCCGCCGCCGCGCAGCGTCCCCGCCCCGCCAGGCCGCCGTGGGGAGGAGGGCTCGGTCGCCGGGAAGAAGGAAGTCGATTGGTGCCGCTGAGTGTCACTTGCGGAAGACCCCTAGGACATTGGCATTTCTTTGGGGTCTGTCATTCCATACCGCCCAGTGAGAACCCGGGGTGGGACGCGTCCGCCAGACGCGCCGTTGATTGGTTTAAGTGAAGGCCAATCAGACTCCTGTTAAGCTCATTGGTTCTTTCCCCAAGTCTCCGGCACTCAGGGAAGACTCGAGAATGCAGAGTGCCCGGCCAATTTGATCGCCGATTGGCTAATGATTCTGCCACTCATTTCAGTTTATACTGCCGTCACTGCCACGTCACCCCCTCCCATCATTCTTCTCAGCCTCCCTCTTCTGCCCTTTCGGATTGGTGGTTGGTATCAGCTGCTCAACCTTTTCTACCATTGACCGAAAGAGTTGAGGAAAAAGAGGCGGAGTCTCGTCGTCCTCACTTTCATTTCTTATTGGTTGGTATGGATATCACTCACATGTCGGCGGAGAGACAGGGCGATGATTGGAGATAATTGTTTCCGGAATTGAGAGAGGCAGGCCCGGTCAGCCAATAAAATCTGGTATGAGCGCCTGGGGGGCGTGCCCGTCTGCTTCTGGCTTTGGGTAAGTTGGTGAAAGATAAAAAGCGAGTTTTTTCAAAAGCGTGTTTGATGTAAGTACAGTGTCGGAGTCCCTCATTCTGAGCCAAGACCTCCATAGTTTCTTGTTAGGAAGAGTGACTCTCAGCAGTCAGGCCCTGTCTGAGTCTTTTCCTTCTAGAGCTCCCTTCCTGCAGCCGGCTCCGAGTTGGAGACCCAGATGTCTGGGGAGCCCAGAAATAGCTTCCCTAGTTCCCTCCTGGACTCAAGATCCTCCTAATTCCTCTCTCTGCTTCGCTCATCATTGCACCACACCCTTCATCTCCTGATTCTAGACCGTCATATACTTCTCCTAATTCTGTCCCATAACACCTGAATGCCCTGGTTGGTTTTGTTATTAGCACACATGTGGTACGCATAACTTTGCAGAGAAAATAGTTATTTTTGGTAAATTGACTTTGTTTACCCATTTGTGAAAGTAACATTCAGAAACTCATTTAACAGATGTAAACTGTTAAAACGGACTTTGGGGGAACCTGTTAAATTTTGCTGGTTTAGCCAGAAAATAGAAAAAGCTGTTAGACACTGCAAAGCAAATTGCTTTTCCTTGGCACTGTGCTTTCCGGTATCGAGAAAGAAAAATGTCCTTTTTCGAAAATGTTTTTAACAGGAGAGAAATATTTATTCAATTCAAGAGAGAGAATACACATTGAAAATCTGCAGATGTAGGCCATTCGGGATTAATTGTTTTTTTTCAGCTGCGCTAAAGTGAACCCCTTTATGCCTCAGTCCTGCCTTTGCTACTTACTGTCTCGATGTATTAGGGAAAGTCATTTATTTAAGCACTCCAAGATTCAGTTTTCACTTATGTTAAATAAAAATAAAACCTTACAGGGATGCTGCTGTTGTGATTAAATGTTTAAACATGTGTTTGAACATATTTGATATACCATAAACAGCTACACAAATGTGAGTTGTGTTGCCAAATACACCCCTCAGATTACTTGTCAATCAGAAAGGAGAAACACATACTGATGTAATGGGGAAATCTGACTGTCTCCACCTTAATCCAATTTAGCATCATTAATCCTGGGACAACCAAATTTTTATGATGTTCCTGGTATGCTGCAGCATGTCGTATACAGCATTGCATAATGAAGTTTTTCTTTTTGCCAAAAATGCTCAACCTGGATCCAATCAAGCCTTTAGATCTAACCTCCCGTTTATAGGGCCTAGATGAACCAGTTAGACACCCACAAGGAAACAATCAGATAAGAACATGAGGCACGCTATAAGACAACCAGTTTTACAAAAGGTGAGACAGAAAGATTAAGGACAATGGATGTCCTAAAAAAAGATCAAGGGGTGATCGTTCTAAATTAAAAATATATATATATTAAAAGACAACCAAATGCCTGATTGGTTTCTGGTTCTGGAAAAAAAAATATAACCAGGTTTTTAAACATTTTGGGGATAATTGAGGACATTTGAAATTGAGTGGTATTAGATGGTATTAGGCAGTTATTACATTTGTTCAGTGTAATATTGGTATAATGGATAGGAAGGAAAACATCTTTACAATTTGGAGAAATGTTTACGAGTGACCATTGTTAACAATTTGACATATATTCTTCTATCTTATGAATTTTAAAAATTAAAAAAATTCTAAGGAAATATTTTGACACCTATACTTATTAGTTTGCCAGGGCTGCCATAACATCACAGATGGGGTGGCTTCAACAATGGAAAATTTTTTCTTACAATTCTAGAGGTTAGACGTCTGAGACCAGGTCTTGGCAGGGCTGGCTCCTCCTAAGATCTCTGTCCTTGACTTTTAGACGGCTGTTGTCTCCCTTCTGTCTTCACATGGTCTCCTTTCAGTGCCCATGTCTCTTCTTCTAAGGACACCAATCATATTGGATTAGAGCCCACCCACATGACCTCATTTTAATTCCTCTTTAAAAGTCCTATCTCCAAATACAGTCACATTCTGAAGTACTGGGGGCTAAACTGAGGGACACAGTTTAGCTTGTAACGTACACAGAATGCATGTCTGAAAGTTATGAAGCACAATAGTAAAACTAACACCCATTAATCCATCGTTCAACATAATAGAAAAATAACCAATTTCCTACATCTTTATCCCAATCTCATTCCATGATGTATTGAGAAAAAAAGTAAAAATATAATTCTAACTGTATGCATATGGATACAAAAATTACTTGGAGGACAATACACTAAACTGTTAGCAGTGGTTATTCTGGGGGTGGAACTAGTGATACTTTCTCTTTGTAACATATGCAGATTTATCTCTGGTTCTTTAGATTGGTACGAAATCTAAACGATTTAAAATATTCTATCTACAACTGGCAAAGTACACACATCACTGATTACCTAGCTCCCTCATAGGTATTTCCCAGCTCCCAGGTCTGATTTAGGTTAATATTGAAGAATGAACTTGGCTAAGTTGGGGAGCTTGGCAAGTCACACTGAATAATAAACAACAAGCTCCTTGAAACAGTCTTATGTGCAACATTTGCAAAATAAAAAGCCAAACTCAGACTGTTATGAGACCTGCGATCTACTCACAACTGTGCCTCTGCTGCAGTAAGGAAAAAAGGTCAAAACAATGGTATTCAGTGATTTTAAGATACTGATTCCTCAGGTTAAAGACTTGTTTCCTAAAAACCCACATATTAATTTTTGCAGGATTACAGTATCTTTAAACATAGTTGGATGAAGAAAAGTATAATGTGCCTTCAGCCTCCTTAGGTCTACTTCTCACACAGTGGACTTCATTGCCCTCCAAAAGTAAATGGTAGGTGGCATCCAGTTCTAACAGATTCGGGCCTGTCTTGGTCTTCCTAATAATGACTGACAGGGCAAGTTGAGTGAAAGCTAGCTGGCTGACACTTAGGTCAAAGCAGATCTTTCTGGATATGGAGCTGGATCCATCTTGATGCAAGTCAGTTTGGAAAAAACGCAATTTCATGTAAATGTGGAAGTTTACTGGGAGATATAGGTTGGACTTATCAAAGTGGTTCTTTGATCCCTCAATTGGTATATCTTAAATGTTCCATAATGGAACACCTGACCACATCTCTCAGGATAATTGCCTTGCTTTCACATGACTTATTCAGACCCCTAGTATATTCTTCTGTTACAAAAGTCAAATGCATTGGCTCTGAAGTCAAGCACAACTAGATCACACATTTTTGCCCTGTTAGAACTTATTTTCTCACTAGAAATAGAGGGCGATTTTTAGTTTTTAGAAACTAATCCCCCTTTTGGTTATAACAGCAACACATGCTCATTGAAGACAAATTGAAAAATGTGGAATAAGCAGGAACAATCACCTATATACAAAATCCTCCACAACCGCTCCCCTTAAAGGCAACCACGGCTATTTGGTCAGCCATGATTGCATTCTTGTTCCTTTTTTCCCCCTCCAAACAGATTAAGTCATATACATGTACAGAATCTATTTTATGCTTAACCTTATATTCTTACTTTCTCGTGTAACTCAAATTTTCAAAAAACAATTAGTTTTTAAAAATATTTCTTCCAAGAATATAAGCAATGCACTCTCTATATAAAATTTGAAAAATACCAAAAACCAAAGATCTGGATATTTATGCCAGCATATATGCATTTTCTTAAAAAAAAACAAAAAACAAAAAAAAACTTTGGATTCAAAGCATACTTTATTTTCTCCCATACTGCATCATAAACACTTTCCATGATTAAATGTTCTGCCTAATTGTCCATGATTGGATAATCCAAATGGGTTATCATTTACTTAACCGTTATTGTGTTGTTGAACATTGAGGTTACTTCTATTACTAATAACGCTGTGATAAGTATCATTACTTTGGAATTTTTCCTTAGATTTCTAAAGCCAAACTAATTACGAAGACTGAATACTTTTCATAGTATTCATATGTGTGGGTGGCAGCCCCAAATTCCCCCTAGCATTATTTCTAAAGATTTTAATTTGATAAGTAAAAAAATTTTTTTCTACTTATGGAGGTGAACTTCTTAATATTATTTGCATTTTAATTTGCAAAGATTATTCACAAGTCTGTTATCTATTACTTGTCAGGGTCTTCTCTTATAAGATTACATACATTGATGTCAGTTTTTAACTGTGCCATACTGTTGTAAATTTTTAGCGAATCACCTAATTTGATTATTTTTGACATAACATTAGCAGGGAGGTTAATATCACTCTCATTGGTTACTCAAGTATCTTAAATGTGACTTTTTATGCACTCAGAACAAACAATATCTCGTGTATACAACCGTGACTCAAAATCAGTTGGTAGTTATTGTAAACTATTATATTCGTAAGGTAGAAATACTTAATTGCAGTCTTTCTCACAAAAAACATACTATCACCATTTTCTGGACTAGGACTGGTTTTTTCTCCAACTGTGGTGGGAAATTGTGATCGAGAGCAGCGGGGCATGCTAACTTGAGCATCTTTCTCAGCCTTACCACTAACCAGCCCCGGGGCCTTCAGCAAGTCACTGTCCTCTCAGAGCTTCAGCCCTCTTGCATGTGGGCCAACAGGATCTCGTTTTCCTCACTGCTGACATCCTGATTCTGGGCTTCTGCGAATGCATGGGCAGCCCCCACCAGTTCCTCCCCAACCACGCAGAGCTATCTAATAGTGAGACATACATACTTGCATGTAAGAGGTGAGAACACATCTTTTACCCCTTCGCAGCAATAAGAATGTCTCACGAGTCCCCTGCTCTGCTTTTCACTAGCAGTGTCACCTTAAGCAAGCTATTTAACCTCAAGGAGTCTGACCACTCATCAGGAAAAAATAAGCTTCGTGTAAGTAGGCACCTGGTAATGTTAAATCATCTCTCTCCCCGCTTTTTTTCTCTGCCTTTCTCTACTTGTTCGCTGAATCCTTTTTTTCAAACAAAAGGTCTCACATGCTACTGATTCAATCAACTAATGCAGAATCATAGAAAGAGAGAAACCATTTTCTCAGTAAAACATGTCCAGCTGTCAAGATACTGGAGACGTTTTCAGCCTGGTATGGGAAGATGCTAGTGATCTTGCTACAGCATGAACCTGCGTGCCCTCGCATGTGTCATTCCTTACAGAACCACCTTGGTTCTCCTCTAGTGTCTCCTTCTCCTCTTGGGAACTGAAACTGATTTTATTACATTTTCAACCAAATCCATCAGGGAATGGGACGATTCTGCTTTTGTTTCTGGACCAGGAATTGCTTGATCCTGAAAGTCTTGGTGAGGAAAAGGGTCAACCATGATAGCAGAGAAAGGGGGAGAGTGCTGAATCTTTTATCTTGGACATTTAGAGGAAGTATGATACTCAAGTCCGAAATAAGTAACACATTTACTATGAAGAATTACCAACTTTCCCTCATCTCCTCAACCCTAGGCTACGTGAAGTCTCTTAAAAAAGTCACATGTGCCTCGAGAGAGATGGCTGGAGAAGATGAACTGAAGTGTGCCAATTCCATTCTGCAGTTAAAATGGGAGGGGAACTGAAAGCGTATAGGTTTTTAAAGGAAAGTTACCATGTAAACAAAAGATCTTTGTCTGCCTCCCTTACAACAAAATTAAAAAAGTAAACACACATATAGGTAAATATCTTTTACCAATCCCCAACACCAAGGGGTTTGCCAGTCTATCTAAACATGCTTGAAACACATTAAAAATCATGTTCAGAAGTAACAAGGAGAAATGCAGACACACTTTTCAAGTATACAATTTGTTTTTATTTACAATACCCTATAAAAATGTAAATTTAGAAACTTTTAATTTTTATTAGAACCAAACAAAAAAAGATAAAGCACAGAAAGGAAGAAATAGTAATCAAGTATTCACTCGATCGGTTATGAGGTGGAAAGGCAGGAAAGGCGCATGGTGGGAACAGTCAGTAGATAATGGCAGAGGGAAGCTAGGCAATGTCACTGGGGAACAGCTGGTGGAGCCTGGGGCTACAGAGTGGAAAGAAATGGAGATGAAGAACAAGGACAGCTGGTTATAACGGAGGACTTTACTGTTGTACAATACGTGTATGTGCAAAACATTTATTCTCTTTAAATATCATAACCTGCCCCCCAACTACATTCGCAAAGGTGAAACAGCAAGAAGTATATCAGGACAGTCATGTAAAATGAATTCAGATTTAATTTTCTTGATGGCTGTAATCACTAGGGGTCAAACCCTCTCATCCTGGCTGAGTGCTGCATGGGAGAGGGATAACTGAAAAGGGTCATGGCAGTCCCTGCTAGGATTCACACCCAGGCCCCTGGCTCCTGGGACGGGACTTGGGTGAGATGAAGTAGCAAGGCCAGCGTTCTGCCCATGATGTGGAGGAGACTGAAAAGCAAGCAAGCCAAACAGCTTCCATGGTTACATTTGGAGGTTTCTACTCCTGATACCAAATAGAAACGGGAGGAAAGAGTAAAGGCATGGCTTACTGAAGCAGTCTCGGGAAGACAAAAGCTACACCGTGGAAGCAGGCTCTAAGTCAGAACCTTTTTGAGCAATCTTCCATGCACTTGAGGGGCAGACTCAAGTCCACTGTAGTTGTAGCGGGAAAAAGGTTTAACTGTGTGCTGTTTCCACTGAGGTGGAAAGAAACAAAGGAAATTCAGGTAGAAAGGAGAAAAGGGACTTCTCGGCTTAGAGCCGGGCATCAGCCAATTAAGAGCTCTGATTTTCTTAAATGTGCTGCATACCTTGTGTTTATACTGAAAGAAATAGTAGCCACCAAATTAATTACAAGATGGACTAGAAACAGATTAAAACTACATCAGCTGGTTTGTGTTTAGAGGGGGGATGTGTCAACCTTATGTTTCTCGATCTAAAACTCATTTTTAAGGATCCTCTGGAGACCACATAAACATATGTAGGGGGGGTATGTGTGCATATATATATTAATTTCTACTTAATTGGCTCTCCTATAGTCTTATTAATATGGGGCAATGAAAAAAGACTTCAATAGGATGAGGGAAGGAATCCTCGGGCAGGCTACGCTCTACTCTGAACTGGAGTAGTGGTGGTGGGATAAAGGGAGAGATTATATTTGTGTCTCTAGGGCAAAGAAAATGCAAAATTGAGAAGAATTGAGTAAAAACAGGACATGCAGAATTGTAACATAGAAGGTAAGAAGAAACCAGCAGAAGCACCACCCAGCCAAACGTCACAGAGCAGTGGGGAGACTCCTGGCCATTAGAGACGACCCCTGTGAACAGGAATCGGTCCCACAGGATGCTTTGGGGAATAAGCTACCTTCCCTCCCTCATTAAAAACACTCCATTGGTGATGGCAGCAGTGCAGGTGACAGTCAAAAGGAGGTACAGGACACATTTGCAGATCTTTTATCGTATCCCCTGAACTAGCCTACAGGTATAAAGAAAGAGAGAAAGGAAACTTGTTTGTATAAATGAGTTAAACCAGAGGCAATCTTTTGCATCAAAATTACATCCTTGTAAGAATTCTCACAACATAACACCTAAGACATCGCTACCCTTAGCATTCAGTCAACCAGGAGGGTGCCGCTGGACCCAGTACAGTGTTTTCTATCTAGTAGACACTCATATATTTGATAGAAGTCTTTAATCTCTTCCACCAAATTCAGTTTTATGCCCCCCAACCGCCTCATCACAACCTCTAAAGTGCCAACAGTAGTGAGATGTGGAACTCTCTTGTTGCAAACTTACTGCAGTTTTGTCTCCAGCAAGTTCAGTTTCTGCCGGTCAACATAGCGAGAAAAGAGGGATACTAGGTTCGTGGGGATAGAGACTGGCTTGGCCAGGGCCACCTGGGGAATCCGCAGAAGTTCTCGGGTTGCCATGAACATCACCTCCGTCCTGACAGAGGAAACCGATAATAACGAGGTGAGAATAAGAATGAAAATTTACTAACAGAACTTAAAACAAAAGAAGAAATACAGCCCAGACTGACCACTGGTTGTTTTCCGTTGTTTCTGTAGCGGGATCTGAACTCTGCAGGTCTTCCCCGCGGCTCAGGACAACGAGGAGCAGTGACAGGCCAAACTGCAAGAGGGGACAGAGGGAGTCACACTCAACACTGCCTCACCCCCCCCCATACTGCCGAGGGGATCTCTGTTCAAGGGGGATCAGCACTACACCCAAATGATCCCACTGCATGCTTTTCTGTGACACTGGGCAAAGACAAGACGGTTGTGAGCTTTTCTCCTATTTACGAGAACAGAAATGGATTTAAAAAAGTTAAATGAGGACAAACTTTGATAGAGAAAATTAAAGTTCGCAGAAAAAAAAAAAAACATTAAATACAGTAAGGTATTTTGAATTAAGAAAAAAGGTGTTAAGACCCGTGGGAAAATGTACAAAGAAAAGTAACTGAAATGGTCAGGATACAGAGAGGACATTTCCTTAAAAAAGGATACACCTCTCTGCAAATGTAAAAGCTTAGACAGGATGTTACTAAGAATCTAAAAAATAAAAAAAAGAGGAAGGATAAACAGATATATTCACTATATCTAGGATTATCAAAATTTGGCAACATGCTTTAGCAATTAAAATGTATAAAGATTTGTTTTATTAGATTTGTTTCATTTACCGGGTAGTACAAGCAGGAAACATGCAGTCTAAAGGGGCATAGAATGAAAAGACAAACAGGGATCAGACGTACTGGGTTAATGTCTGAGCCAGTTATAATGGGTCACAAAGAGAAGGCGGGGTGTTCTGGGATTCCATCCCACCTTCCCGAGTTCCACTCATAGAGGATTACCTTGCCTCTCCGCACAAGTTCCCTTCACGTCAGAAAAACACACTGTCCTATATAGTCTTGTTGACCTCAAGATATTCTACTGCCTTTATCAAAATTAATACCAGGAGACCAAATCACATGAAAGGCACATAACTGATCAATCCGGTACCCCTATCTTAAGTCCCCTGAGGCACTGTCACCTCTCTCATCTGCTGAGGCACTGCCCTTCGGAGCCATGCTTCAGCAGGTTTTCAGATGAGAGAGACTACCTTTTCCCTCTCCTGTAACAGACGGCCCTTAATGAGTGCCCTCTGCGGACCCGGCATTATAATGGACTGTTCACAGCTGTTCTCTCATCTAAGTAACAGGAAAACTGTGAAATCAACATCTTCACCTCCACTTTATAGATCAGGACACCGAGGCTCAACAAAGTGAAATAATCTGTTCAGGGTCAAAAACTTAGAAAGTGGCAAGCAAGGAATGAAAACATGTTGTCTAAAAGCTCATGTTGCTTCTTCTGTATTATGTTTCCCCTGTGAGTCTCCGGTTCTTTACCTTGATGTAAATGAAATCGATGAAATGGGATGTTCTACTATTTAGTCTTATAACAGAGACCCCTACTTAGCCACCCAATATGCTTCCTCCTCCTATTGGAACTCTGAATTTACTTGTGGTGACAATGCTATGAATTAAAGATGTTTTCCAGCCTTCCCTGCAGTTATGTGTGGCGTGTGGCATGTGACTAAGACCTGGCCATTGAGATTAAGCGGTTGTTGGTTTGAACACCTGGAAAAGGTCCAAATAAGGCAGACAGCTAATCCACACATTTTGGCCTTCCACGAGCACCTCTCTGATGCAAAGTGGGGTCTTGAATTCTACAACCATCATGGACCCTTAGAGGTCACGAGCACGTCAGCCACTGCTAAGGATGGCAGAGAAGGCAAACCGCAGGAGCCTGCATCCCTGACAATGCTGTGAAGCTGCTGTACCAGATCTATTCCACACGAGATACCTACAATTCTACTTTGTTGAAACCACTGTTATTTCTAGCCTCTGCCACTAGGAGCTTACTGTAACTCCTGACTGAAAGAAACCTATTTACAAGTTTCCATAGCCACGGCAGCCATTACTTTTATCTACAACTCAAATTAGAAGCCTTGCAAAGTCCAGGGCCATAAAAGGGCAAGACCACCTGGCTCTGGAGCACAGCAGTGAGGTGAGGGTTGGCGGGGGCTGGTGCAGCTGCACTCTGAGGTAGGTTCATCAGCTGTTGCAGAAGGCTGGTGACAGTCACTGATGGAAGATGATAGAGGAGGAGAGAGAAGGGACTCAATAAGCATGGCAGCACCTACACAAAAAGTAAATAAAAGTATTAGATCCTGGCAACCATGATGGTCAGCTGTACAGTCAACGGCCTGAGGCGAGATTTAACAAAACGGGGCTGACACTTAAGTCTAGGAGATGCTGCTAGAGTGGTAACAACGGACCTACTGGGAACTTTTTCAAGTCAACTTGCATAGGAAATATCATGACTTGTGAATCGAGGGTATAAAATCACTTCTCAAATACACAAGATTCATGATAAAAGATCAGTATTTTAATTTATCCCACAAATATATAAATGCCTATGATGTGCCAGGCACTGTAGACTAAAAACAAAAGTTAAAAGGACAGACCCTCAGGGATCTAAAATACAGTGGGGAAGATGAGTAAATTGGCAATTTCAACATAGTGTGAGAAGCACTTTAAGACACGTAAATTCTGAGTGCCACAGAATTACTGAGAAGTATTTTCAGACTTAATTCTATCTTGCTTTATCTTTATAAAAGCTCAGTGAGGAAATGGAACAACGATTAACCAATTTTATAGCTC